TGGAACAGGAGCACTTTCAACTGTGGTGCTCTCTGCCCCCACTGCCAGTGTTACTGTCTCATTTTTGGCCTCAGTAGCCTCACTTCCAGCCTTGGTTTCAGGATTCTCAGATGCTGCTCCACAGGAGACTGGCTCTTCGCAAGACTGTCTTTAGGGTTTTTATTTCTTGTCATACTGGGCATTGAACCCAGAGTCTTCCCACTCAGGTTCCTTGGTCCTTTTTTGTCCTTTTTGAGCTCACTTTGTAGCCTAGGCTGGAGAACTTGTAATGATCCTCCTGCCTCGGCCTCCCCAGTGCTGCTTGGTCATTTTGAGACAGGGTCCCACCACACCACTAAGTTGTCCAGGCTAGGCTCAAATGAGTCTTCTTGCCTCAGCCTCCCAAGAGTGCTGGATTTACAGGTGCATCCCACCTTGCCTGGCTTGGAAAGTGATCTTAACAGAGAAGGTTTTGTGGGGCAGTCTTCCATGCTTGTATGATGAAAGTTTTTTTTTTTTTGTTTATGGAACGCTTCACAAATTTGCGTGTCATCCTTGCGCAGGGGCCATGCTAATCTCTTTTTTTGGGGGGGGGCAGAACCAGGGATTGAACTCAGGCCCTTGCGCTTGCCAGGGAAGCACTTATTCCACTGAGCCATCTCCCTGGCCCCATGCTAATCTCTTATCTTAGTATATGTGCTGCCGAAGCAAGCACTATAATGAAGTCTTCACAGGAATTTAATGTTCATAAAGTTTTAATTGGAGGGGCTGGTGAGATGGCTCAGTGGTCTAAAGCACCTACTTAGAACAAGCTAAGCCAAGCAAAGCACAGGGATCACGGTTCAATCCCCCAGCACCACATGCCAGCCAGCCCCGCCCCCTGGTGGGTTGAGCTGGCCACACACACACACACACTAAATAAATAAATAAATAATTTGGGGGAAAAAAAGTTTTAATTGGAGCTTTTTCATTAAAGGAAAATAAATTGAATAACCATCAAAGATTTCCTGATGTGAAGACTATAGTTTTAGGAAGAGATTGCAAATATGGAAAACTTAAAAAGGTTTTTTTTTTTCTTCTTTTGAACTGGGGATTGAGTTTGGGGGCTTACCAGTTCTACCACTAAGCTTATCCCCAGCCTTTTTATTATTTTGGGTTGTTTTTTAAAGATTTAGTTAGTTGGTATAGGGTCATGCTATGCAGCTTGGACTCACAGTGATACTCCTATCTCAGCCTCCCCAGTGCTGGGATTACAGCTATGTGCCACCACGCCTGCTTTTTGGTTTGGTGCAGGGCTGGCACGGCATGCAGTACCAAGGATCGAACCTGGGTCCTTGGGGTTGCCAGGCAGGTGCTAGGTCCCCCGAGTTATCTCCCCAGCCCCTATTTTGTTTGTTCTTTTTGTTTTTGGTTTTTTGCGGAACCGGGTTATTTTGGGGTTTTTTTGAGACAGCATTGCTATATAGTTCAGGCTGCCCTTGAACTTGTGGAGAGCTTCCTGCTTCAGCCTAGGAAGTGCTGAGATTACAGGTGTGCACCACCATGCCCAGCCCCCAGCCTTTTAAAAACAATGTTTGAGTAGTGGGAGTATCAATGTGTACTACTTATGCTCAGTTTTTGTTTTTGTTTGTCTTTTTTGAGACAGGGTCTGTCTATGCAGTTTAGGCTGGCCTTGAACTCACTTTGTAGCCCAGGATGGCCTCAAACTTGCAGTGATTCTCCTGCCTCAGCCTTAAGGCTACACTTTTGTAGGTAAAAGAAATATGCCACAGGCTGAGATAACCCACACTCATCTTGGGAAAATCCAAGAAGCCGTCTTAGTTTCTCTACATTATTGTCACATGAGGTAAAGTTTTAGATGGGGATTCCTCAGCAGCCAGGCTACTGCCGCACAAGAGGTAAGGAATGTGATTCGGTAGGGTGAGCAGTAGCACTAAAGTCAAGACAAGACATCGCTGAAATTTATTTCCTTACCAGAATTTGAGGTCATGTTCTATTTATTTAGAAACAGGCTCTCACCATATAATGAGGCCTTGAACTTACTACATAGCCCAGGCTGGTCTCGAACTCATGGTGATCCATGTTCCTCAGCCATCTTAGTGGTGGGATTACAGGTGTGCACAACCATACCTAGCCTGGAACTTGGGTTATACTGGTGAAGTACTATATCAGGACTGGGAGAATTTCAGGGTAGGTGTACAAAAATTTGTTTTACTATTATTGTGGCAGTTAAAACAACGGAGCCTTTAAAAAAAACAAAACAGCTCACTATGTAGCTCAGGCTGGCTTCAAACGGTAAGCATCCTGCCTCAGCCTTATGAGTGCTGAGATTACAGGCATGCACCATCACATTCGGCAACAACAGGACTTTCGTCTTTTTCAGTGCTGCTGGGGATCAAACCAGGGTCTTAGACTTGCTAGCCAAGTATTCCACCTTAGCCACATCCCTAACCCAAAAAGTTTTTTTCTCCTTATTTCTGGGGAAAAAAAAAAAAAAAAAAAAAAGATGCCATTGAGGTGATTCGATTGGTATTTATGAAAAAAGCCCAAGAGGAATTTGGACACCAAAGCTATCGCTCTACCAGTTACCCCTGTTCCAAACAGATGATCTTTTTCTAGCAACAGACCCTAAAGCTGAGTCAAGACCTCACAGCGGAACATTAGGGGTACTAATCTGATACAATTTGGTCCATATCTACTGTTAGGAAGTTGGCAGCCTATAGCTTTCTTTCTTTTTTTTGCGGAACCAGGGATTGAACTCAGGCCCTTGAGTTTGCCAGGGAAGCGCTTATTCCACTGAGCCATCTCTCCTGCCCCTCAAGCTTTCATTTTTTGATTCAGATGTGAGAAAACCACGTTGCTATGACAATAAGACTTGGTTGATTGGGACTGGGGAGACGGCTCAGTAGAATAAGCGCTTACCTGGCAAACTCAAGGGCCTGAGTTCAATTCCCAGTTCTGCCAAAAAAAAAAAGCAAGACTTGGTTGATGGCTTATGAAGTTCCTTCCAGTGCCTGCTCTTTCCTGTTAGTTTCAAAAGCCAATAGGTTCCAACTGGTTGAAGACAAGATGTAACCTAAAGTTTTCTATTCTCAGATGCCCTTAGCCGCTCTTCTCTGAGACAATTGTATAGAGCTAGCTGTATCTGGAACCTATGCAGGGATAGGCCAAGATCTTAGAAAGATACATAAATGATTCTTAGAGTGCTGAGCCAATACTTAGCATATCTGAGTTCTCTTTCAAAAAAATCCTTAAGCTAAGTTATCCACAGTTAAACTGTTAGCCAAACCACAGATTGATTTCTTAGCAAGGACTCTTAACCATAAGTTTCTTTTTTTTTTTTTTTTTTTTTTTTTTTT